GGGCATTAGTGAAAGATCAATTTTAATCTGACTGCTCTATTTATTTTTTGATTAAATTAATTTGATTGTTCTGACAAACATTGTTTATGTACACTTCTGATGCCAACTATGAATCATGCAAAAAATATGTTATCTTCACCTTCTATCATTTACCAACGAGCGACTTTATGGGTCCTGTTTGAAGGCAGTTTCTCTAGGAAGAAGTTAATTCAATTTATCTTAGTGGTCTTATCTCAAGATAAGTTTGATTCTTGCCTCAGGGAAGCTGGAACCGATCCTGATAAACCATCATTATCTGATGTTTTAGACCTAAGGTCTCTAGGGGTGTATAACAGAAATTACCCTTGGAATGGATCTGTTAAAGTGAGCCGAATAGGGGTAGTTTAGTCATCTCATGTTTGTTAAGTACCTTGCTTATGTGGCAATTTTATTAGAGATACTCTACCCCACTCTTAAGTGAGGGCAGTTTAGTCTTTGTGAATGTTATTAGCACCTAATAAACATTAGGGGGTCGAATGAATAGTGAATCAATGAGTTTCGACTAAACCCTCATGTTCTCTCTTTCTCTTTTCTTCTTCTTCTTCATCTTCTTCTTCCTTCTCTCCTGGTTTGGGTTACTGTAGCTGCATTCGAAACATGGTATCAGAGTGAGGTTCCTGACCTGCTTCAGTTTGTAAAGCATCTCAGCTGTGTTCGTGACACCTTCTTCTTCATTTAAGGTTAGTTAATGGAGAGAACTGATTCGCCCTAGGTCTGAGACATCACAACTCGTTTCTCTCTGCCGCGCCACAATCTTCTTCATCAAGGAAAGTGATTTCAACAGTGAATGGTTGGTTGATACTCTCAAAGGAAGGTTGGTTATCTAGTCATTTTGTGTTGCTGGTATTTCTGGGTAGAAATCTTTCAAGAATCAGTTAGTACTGATTAGAACCTAGAGAACTAGGTTTGTTGTTGCCCTAGAACGAGCTGTGTACAATAGCCGAATGGTGTAGGGGCTGCTGCAGGTGGCCAAGTGGTGTAAGGTGTAATGCAGTGACCTTGCCGAGTTCTTTGTGGTTGTGTAATGCCCTCTTAAATGTGTTAAACAAGTCTGAACTGGGTGTAGCAAATTTGACTGTGTTATGGTGCTAGTGGTGCACAACTTTTATTGAGTGGTTGGAAGAGGGCCTACATGTGATAGTGAGTGCTAAATTGATGCTTATGTGGTTCGTGGATTTGTGAAGTCAGCAGTAGTGTGAATAAGAACAAGGCGTGGGCTCTCATTGTTGTGTTTAGGGACTGCAATAGGTGCTGAAATATCAAACTGCGAATAATATCAGTCAGCTTGTAGCTGAGAAGTCAGGTTAGAGGCAACTGTGAAAGAGTACAATGACAGCAATAAGAGATGGGTACAATGATCAGCAACCTAATGTGATGGTTTCCCCCGACTATCTAGGGGTACAGATGACCTCAATTAAACTGAATGGGGAAAACTACGTTCCATGAGCTAAATCTGTGAAAGTTTTTCTTAAGGCAAAGAGGAAAGTGAAGCATGTACTCTAGGGTTTGATGATTGGGAACAAGAAGATGCTCAAATCATGATTTAGTTGTGGAATAGTATGGAGCCCAAAATTAGTGCCAACTTCATGTTCCTTGATACGGCTAAGGATATATGGGAGCATGCTAAAAAGTTATATTCTGGACAAGATAACACAACAAGAGTATATCAACTTTATCAAGAGTACTTTGATTTACAACAAGGAACCAAAACACTAGAAGAGTACTATGCCTACATGAAGAATATAGGGAATGAACTCAATGTCTATCATCCCCTCACTCTAGATATTAAAGTTCAGCAACAACAAAGGGAACAACTAGATGTTACAAGATTCTTGGTGGGGCTGAAATCGGAGTATGAACCAGTTAAAGCCCAAATATTAGGGAGCTACACCCTTCCTACACTTGATGAAATATTCTCACGGCTTTGCAAAATTTCTTTGGGACAGACAGAACCCCACACAGTCTGATAGATTAACACTTGTGACAACTAGAGGAGGTGGACACAGTACAAGAGGGGGAGGACATGCCTCCCGAGGTGGCCGTGGCAGTTCCATGATTGGTCGGGGTGGTCGTGACTCAGGGGGAGACCGTGGCAGAGGGAAGAAGAACTCTGCGAGGAAGTGTACTCATTGTGGTAGGGAAGGACACACAATGAATTTCTGTTATGACCTACATGGCCCTCCCTCCAAATGAGCTAATCATGCTGTAGCAGGTGAGGTTGATATCAGTGACAGTAAACAGGTAGAACGTACTCCTCTCCCATCTACATCTACTTCTGGGAGGGAGATGGTGAGTGTACCGCGTGATGAGTATGAACAGTTCCTTCAAGCTACTTTACTGCATACCACTGCCACACTTGCCCACTCAGGTATTGTTTGCATGTCATCTAAAACCTCTCACTGGATTATTGACTCTGGAACCTCAGATCATATGACCGGGACTCCAGGTGTGTTCCCTTCTCTTTCTGAAACCTCCACATCACAAACTGTTACACTTGCCAATGGGTCATCATCTCCCATCTGTGGTGTTGGTAATGTTGACATGGCTTCTGTGCCCTTATCATCTGTTTTATATGTACCTAAGTTTCCATTCAATCTTATGTCTATTAGTAAATTACCAAAGTTCTTAACTTTTCTTATGTCTGTTAGTAAAATAACCAAAGCTCTTAACTGTTCTATTATCTTCTTTCCTTCCACCTGTGTTTTTCAGGATCTCAAGACGGGGAAGAAGATTGGTGGAGGGCATGAAGCTGGTGGATTGTATTATCTTGACGGTGGTGGATCTTCAATTGCTCTTCAAACTTCACTTACTCCTCTACAATGGCATTGCCGACTGGGACATCTATCTCTCAAGGCTCTCAAGATTTTGGTTCCGTCATCGAGTCATTTGTCAGTTTTGCAATGTGAGTCATGCCAGTTTGGGAAACATCGTCGTGTGCCCTTCAGTCCAATAGTTAAGAGTCGTATGTTGAGTCATTTTTCGTTGGTTCATTCAGATGTTTGGGGTCCAATCAAAATAGAGTCTTATAATGGGTACAAATATTTTGTCTCCTTTATTGATGATTGTTCAAGAATGACATGGATTTACTTAATGAAAGAAATAAGTGAATTGTTTTCCATTTTTCAAAAATTCCATGCTGAACTACGCACACAATTTGGTGTTCCTATCAAAATTCTCCGTTCAAATAATGGTCGTAAATACTTTCTTGCTTCATTTCAACAGTATTTAGAACATGACATTATTCATCAGACCTCATGTGCATTCACCCCTCAACAAAATGGGGTAGCTGAACGGAAGAACCGTCAGCTTCTTGAAACTGCTCGGTCTATTCTTCATCACATGAATGTTCCTAAACGGTTTTGCAGTGATGCTGTACTCACTGTATGTTTTCTCATTAATCGG